CCCTATAGGTAGAGACAGAAAGTCTCCTAGCAGCCATCGTTTTGCATTCCTTATAGCAAGTCTACATTGCAACATGCTTACTTTTGTGATGTTCTCATTTGCAGAAATGGAGTTCCTGTTTTGTTTATTTTTAAATTCTTGGGCAATCTCTCTTTGGAAAAAAAAAAAAAAAGAAAAAAACCCCAAAACCAAAACCTGACAGCTGCGCTGAAGCCTAAGTTAAGTTTCTTTTTCCCTGCATAACTGACCTAAATTCAGTGTTCTCTCATGTATCTGCCTGTTGGGCAGTTTGTCTGTTTGTCGTCATCTGCAAGTTCTTTGTTCGGTGCAAAACGCCCATTTGAAAGCCTTGGGGGCTCTTGGCCAGGGTTAGCATCTGAACTTTGTCCTCACATAAAGAACTGGATTGTTTAAAATTTATTTTTAAAATTGGTATTCAGCATTTGGACCGAATACCTCTAACTTCAGCAAGTTAGTGTGCTGGGAATGCTCAGCTTCTTCAGGGACATGTTGAAGTATTTGCTTATACACCATTAAAGAGCAGCCTTGCTACGAAGATGTACATGTTTACCATTCTCTGATGAGGCTTGAGATCTTTCTCTCAGCAAAAGCTCCAAAAGGAACATAACTTTCCTTACAAAATAAAAGCAAAAAGAAGATTTAATAAAAAAGTTACATGTATTTGGGGGCAACGGGCCTGAAATCTTAGTGCAATAGCCTTTTTTTCCTCACTGTAATTGCACAGAGTAATGCTCAGTTATTCCTAAATTAGTAGCACAGTTCTTGTGAAGTCTCATGCGTCTTGATCATGCAATCTAAATTACTTTTCTGTGCCAAAACGTGTTTTAGTGCTACAAAGAAGCTTAAACTCTCACAATACTGGTTTCACAATATTTTTCTGTGGAAAGTCCCATGTGCTCAGTGCAGTACTCTACCCTGCGTGGCTGGGTGATAGTATTACTACTTTAGTGTACCGGGTGTATGTAAGTGTATCTAAGGAGAGACGTCTGTGGCCTCTTTCCAGAATAGTCTAGTCAAGAAGTTGAGTCAAGTTGCCCCAAGGCGCTCTTCCTCCAAACTGGATGAGAAAGAGAGGGAGTTAGAAGAAGGGAAGGTCAGGTAAGACAGTGGAAGGGGTCAAATTTGTATGGAAGTGCCTGGACTCACTAGAGTCATTGCCCCTCCAGTCCCTGAACTGGAGCTCCAAGGTCTCCAGTCTCATCTGTCCTCTGAGGTGCCTGCTGCCACCCTCTCCCTTCAGTGCTGTCATGTAGCTGTATTTGTTAGGTCATTATCTTCTATTTCTTGTTCCGCTGTCTTGGCAGTGCAGTGGATTTAAAGGATCCCACTTCACTCATGATACTAATGGGGTCTCAAAGAAGCTACATGATGTAATAATTATTGAATTTCATCAAACACACATACAAAGCCATGCTAAAACCCCATTATTTAGGCTGTAAAGTTAGGAAATGCCAGAAGGAAGTTTTCCTGAGGGCATTTTTGGGAGTTTATGCATAGTGTTAGTCTTCCTTAACAAGATTGCATCCTAGCACCACTGTCTCTTGAAGAGATGGAGAATACATCTCTTTAAGATGGGGAATACAATTTAACACACAGTATTTGAGCTCTGTCCTGAGGGCAGAAGTATTGTCTTCCACTGGTTATGTACTTCATCAAAATTAATTTGCTGTCATTACAGCCCAGTGACACATGGAGCATTATTACCTCCGTTTTACAGAAGGCAATTCAGGCATGAGATGAAATCAACAGTAGCACTGATTTTGGGTGCCAGTTTCAGGGACCTTAGATCTTAAATGTGAGTGTGGTTTGATTTCCAGAATAGTTTGCACTCAGAGTACTTTCTGCCTTTAGTGCCAAGGCTAAGACAGTTGGGCAAATCTGACTGCATTCTCAAGGGAACAAACACTGGTAGTAACATGGGAAAGGTGTCTTCCAAGGGTCTTCCACAGCGCATTTTAGGGATATTGGGGTGTCTGCAGGGCTACAGGTTCCTTCTCTGGAGTGGCATCCAGCTGCCATAGCTGGGGCTCTTTCTGTTTCCTGACTTCCATCAGCATTTATTGTTCAGCTTTGATGGTCAGTGAAGCAGCGATCTGACAGACAAGAGTCTCCTTCCTTTCGTAACAGCAGCATCTCTCCAGAGTGGGTCCTGAGCGGTTGGTTATATAGCTGAGAGAGGAGACTTTATGACCAAGATCAGACGCAAACCTCCCCTCTCTGTGTGTGTATGTGCACACACGTACGGTGTGTGTGAGCGAGCATGAAGGCAAGAAATAATGGTCCACTTGGTGAATGTTTCATATGTAAATACCCTGTGATCTACACTGCATGCATATGCATGCCCCAGGTCTCATTCCCCATAATAAACAAAAATCCTACTGGCAGTTCTTGTGATTTTTCTGAAAGTGTCTTATGTAATAAAGATGATGATTTGAACTCTTCTTGTAGTGCACAGCACCTTCAGTTGCTGCTGCTGACGTTCACTGCTGTTTTGTTGATTTCCTCTGTTTCAACTCTGGTCATAATTTTATTCGGGAAGATGATAAGTTGCAGTATGAAAAGATCCGAGTTAAAATTAAACAATATAGTTGGGAGCTGCCTCTGATCAAAATGGGAGAGTTAACTGTTCAGTTCCATAGCAACACTGGGGAAGGCCAGGACTGATACTGCTGAACTTCTTTGAAAGGTGCAAATCAAGAGATAAAGGCTGGGAGGGCTGAGGGAGAAGGGAAAACTTTTACCAGTTTTTTTACCAGTTAGTTTTGGTAAAAGTTTTACCAAAAAAAAGTTTTACCAAAACTTTTACCAGTCCTCCTCGACTGCCCTACTACCAGCACAATTTCTACATTTTCATTATGAAACAACCAAATTAATGGGCTTTTGGGCACCGAGTCCCACTGCTGAGATGAGCTACTTGCTGTGATTCCCATGGCTTTTTCCCTGTATAAGTCTCCTATCAAACATGTTTCTTACAGGATGCATTCAAACCAATCACTTGGCCTGTATCTCCAGCTCATGCATTCCCTCAAACCAGCAAGCCAGTGGTTATGCTTCTCCACTCATTTTTCATATAGCCTACTTTCTAGTCCATTGTATTACCTGCTTAAAGCCATAACTTCTGAGTTGGAGAGCTTTTTTTTTTTTTCTCCCCTTTTCTTTTTTCCCTCCACTGTTCGTGCCTAGTACGCATTTGGCATAAATAAAATTAGTGTGGAGGCCAATGCATGACCCACGTGTCTCTCTCTTTTGCCAGGATAAAACCTCAGTCTCAAACCTGGAAATATTTCTCAGATTGTTTTTTCCCATACCACCCACATCTTTTTTCCACAAGAGGAAGCTGCTTATGTTGAATGCTGTGGGAACCTAATTGTTACTTTATCGCACAGTGAGGAAAAAAGTGCTAATTAAACAACATGCTTTTCTGAAAACAGATGATACTTTCATTTTCTAGAAAGAGGAAGCTTAATGTAAAATCCCTTCGTCTCTGCCTGGTGAAACCAGATGAATTGCCAAGAAATTTTCTAATTTCATTTGCATAAGCCTTTTTCTAGCTACTTTGAAGAAAGTTCAAAGCTGACTGTTTGGTTATTTGCCACCCGGCAGCGGGAATGCTAGCTTTTCATTTCCTCTGTGTTTGAGTACCAGTAGGGGTAAAACTGTTCATCTGCATATGATAATGCTGTACCTTTATTTGGATCTTCCATTTTTAAACAGATGGGCCAAGATTGATGCAGGAGTCTGAAGGCTGAGTTTGGCTCCAGAGGAGTCAAAATGGGATGATTTACCAGCTTCTCTAGGCTGGTGGCATGCAGAGGTGGTTCTTCAGCGCAGAGCAGTGTTTCAGCAGTTTGGGACAGGTGATGAAGGATGTTCTTCTAAACATGGGAGTTTGAACAACATGCCTGAAATCTCATCTTGCCTATATCGGTAGCCCAGCTTCTTTTCTGTGCCTTTTGTTCCTCTTGCCTTGTAAGATCTGGTTCCTTGCAAGGCAGAGACCTGCTTCTTCCTCAGATCTGCTGACTGAATGAACGTCAGGTTCATATTTTGGCAGTTAGTCTCCCTTGGGCTTTGCGGTGTCAAGAGACTGCTACTCGCCGTGGTATCGTTGGTGGATACTTCGCTTCTCTCAACTCTGCAGTTAATGAAGCAGTTGTTATGCTCACAGAAAGAAAAACAGGAATGTGTCAGGACTTTCAGAGGTGTTTTTTGTTGGAAAAAAACTGGTCCTATCCCAGGCTGAGATGACATGCAGCCCAACTGCATTGCTCTGTTGCTTACAAAGGAGATGAGAATGAGGAGGGTGATTTTGAACAGGAATTGGGATCAGCAGTACTACACAGGTATCAGCTATCTGCTTTGTGCAGGCATGGGACTATGAGGAGTCATGGGAACTCTTAATCTGCGTGACAGCAAATGTCTTGGATGGTCTGTTTTGCTTAACCAAAAAAAAAAAAAACCTACATTTAAAATGGGTTGATCAAAATGCAGTGGCATCCCATGTGGGGTTTTTTTTGTTGTTGTTGTTTAGAACTAAAATGGCATTTTAATTTCTTCATGGGTGAAGTCCATTTTACTGGATAAGTATATCCAAATTGGATGTTAATGTCATTTGGCTAATCCACATTAGTTTAGGGAAATGAAACCACATCTTTTTTTAGTTTCTCAATCATCCCCGCATTGATGTGTTCTCCACTTCAGCTCTCTACTCATCTCTGTACATGTTCTCTTTGCTTTGCTCTTACCATGCAGAGTCTCTCTAGCTGGGATCTGTTTGATGGGCTGGCTCTACACAGTACACATTTATTCTCCTCTCCTTTAGTTCTGCCTCTTGTAACAACAAAGCAGAAAACCTGAATTGCTCATTACAGGAAAGGCACCTCACTAATAAATAATCTGAGACCCTTCACCACAAAGGGTTGTAACGTGTGTTTGTAGCTGACCAGGGCTGCTGCTTGCATATTTTAGCTGTGCTTTTTTCACTGGAGATACCTGACTGAAGGTACTGAGGCCATCAGCAAACAGTGAAGCCCTAAACCCATAGCAGAAACACAGATTCCGTTCCTTTTCAGCTACAGAGCAAGCTTGCTAATTAGGAGCCTTAGTGAGCTGGTACCCTCTTATGCAGTCTGACCATGCAGAAGGACAGAAGCTCCTTCTGTACCCTTTGGCTGATGTGTACCGTATTTTATTTATAGTCTGGAACATCTAAGCAGTGTTAATTTTTCATGGACTCTTGTTTTCTCTTAGGTTATGGAAGATCTTTTCAAGACAACGACACACACTGTGCTCTCCAAATGTCCTCATGATGTTGAGCTTTTTCATAAATACATAGCTCCTGGCCGGAAGGTAACAAATGTGACAGGAAAGAGCTGCAACACTTTCATGCATTTTGGGGACTCTTGTCAATAGGGAGGGGGTTTGTTTGGTTGGTTGGTTGGGTTTTTACTGTGCTGTCCTGTGTTTACAAACTCTGCAGAGCCAAAAGTCAGTCTGATCTTAAGTGATTGTTCAGGCCAACACAGGGAGGACACACAACTTTCTGTAGCTGTTAGCAAGTGTGGTAGAACTGTAGCTGTCATATCATCTAGCAGCTTCTGAATCCTCAGCTCCAAAAACCAGGTACCTTTTTAGCACTGAATGTCCAGGAGTGGATTTTGATCCATATCTCTACAGAGGGATCTGGACCCGCTGGACCGATGGGCCGAGGCCAATTGTATGAGGTTCAACAAGGCCAAGTGCTGGGTCCTGCACGTGGGTCACAACAACCCCATGCAACGCTGCAGGCTCGGGGAAGAGTGGCTGGAAAGCTGCCTGGCAGAAAAGGACCTGGGGGTGTTGGTTGACAGCTGGCTGAACATGAGCCAGCAGTGTGCCCAGGTGGCCAAGAAGGCCAACAGCATCCTGGCCTGTATCAGGAATGGTGGGGCCGTCAGGAGCAGGGAGGTGATTTGCCCCCTGTACTCAGCACTGGTGAGGCCGCACCTGGAATACTGTGTCCAGTTTTGGGCCCCTCAGTACAAGAAGGACATTGAGGTGCTGGAGCGTGTCCAGAGAAGGGCAACAAGGCTGGTGAAGGGTCTGGAGCACAGGCCTTATGAGGAGCGGCTGAGGGAACTGGGGTTGTTTAGCCTGGAGAAGAGGAGGCTGAGGGGAGACCTTATCGCTCTCTACAACTACCTGAAAGGAGGTTGTAGTGAGGTGGGGGTTGGTCTCTTCTGCCAAGTAACAAGTGATAGGACAAGAGGAAATGGGCCTCAGGTTGTGCCAGGGGAGGTTTAGATTGGATATGAGGAAAACTTTCTTCACGGAAGGGGTTGTGGGGCATTGGAACAGACTGGCCAAAGGAAGTGGTTGAGTCCCCATCCCTGGAGGTATTTAAAAGATGTGTAGATGTGGTGCTTAGGGACATGGTTTAGTGGTGGACTTGGCAGTGTTAGGTTTACGGTTGGACTCGATCTTAAGGGACTTCTCCAACCTAAATGATTCTATAATTCTATCTAGAGAACAGTGCGGACCTACAAATCAAAACTTAGAGGGAGGTAGCTTTTCTGAGTTTCCTCTGGGCCCCTGAACCTTTAAGAGTAGCTTTACATCTTTATTTTTTCTCATTTTGACCAAGGACAGGTTGGAACAAATGCTGAAGAACAAATTTGTGATGTAAGTACTTCTATTTCAAAATTATCTGGAAGAGGGCTTTTGGGGAAGGAGTTCCTATTTTGTATATGTTCTTTTTCTTTCCCAACTCAGTGTCTTCTGGGTTAGCATAATGTTTCCAAAAAAGCATGTGTTGCAGTTCCCTTTGTACTGTTTGCCAGTTGCCTGTCCATCTCCACATGAGACTGGCATCTGAATCTGCTGGCCTTTGGCTTTTGCTTCCCTGGACAAGATCCTCTTTCTGTCAGGATATCCTTCCAGCATGTACCTGTGCAGTGGTTTGCTCACTGTCTGGCTTGGGTTTGGCTTTGGTGCTCTGCCTTCCTTCACACTGCCACTCCAGTGGCTCCCTTTTTATGAAACTATTTTTTGATATTTAAAAATCCCAATTGGTTTTCTATTCCTGATTCTTGTGCAACTCCTTTTCCCAGTTCTCTGTGTGCTAAAGAACTGAAAGATTTTGGCTTCCCTCCTTGACCCCCAAGAATACCCCCTCTTCCCTACTCTTGCCTGTCTCTTCAAATAGTGGCATTCTCCATTTATCCCACAGAACGTTGTAGGGCTGCTCAGCCCAGCACTGGTTTTCCTCTTAAGCAGCTACAGCCACGCTTAGGCAACAGAATCATGATAGATCCTCCCTGTGCCTCGTGCCTGCTTAAGTGCCAAGGAAGACCTCAGTGAAGTCACTCTCTCCCCATTTCAGTCATTCCCTCCCTCTCTGTCTGTCTCTCTCTTCATCAACTGCTGGCAGATCTGGGACATTCCTGGCTTACACACATCAGTTACATGCGTTGAACCTGTGCCAGTGATATACCTCATTTTGACCGTGGCCTCACATAACCCGAATACATGGAGCAATATATTCCTTCCTGAGGTATTTCCTTCAGAAGCCTTCCCTGGATTAGTGAAACCTTGTAGCTGGGTGTAAGGAGCTCGTGCTCTTTAGGGAATTTGGTTTACAATTGGATTTAGCCAATGATATGGAGAGATGAAATTATTGTGATCAGGTTATTCTTTCTTCTCTCTGTCCACAACATTTGCTTGGTATGTGGAAAACTTGTCAGCAAAAGTATCTTCCGTTGAGTCTTGATTTCCAGTCATCAAACCTGCAGCATTTTTCACTGCGTTTTTTCTGTTTGCTCTGCCATGATGCTGTTCTTTTGTACTGGTGGAAGTCGCTGGTGGAATTCAGTGGAGAATCTGCTCTCAGATCTGTTGGAGGAGTAGAGAAACATTGCCGCAAATAAATCTCACGATTTTTACAAAGTAAAATGAAAATGTTTGAGTTACAAGCCCTTTGTACTCTGGGTTGTTATTTTTGCCTAACACCGTTCTGAACAGTGGAGCTATGTTGTTGGAGCTGTGCCGATGAGGGCACATTGTTTTCTTAAAAAAAAAAAATCCACAAATTTCTGTGAAGCAATTCTCTGCAGAGCTCACTTCTGACTGAAATGCAATATTGCAATAATGCAAAAGTGTCTTGAGAGCTTAGCACTTCCTGCCCTGCATGTAGCTGAAGCACAGGAAGACATAGGGTTCTTGCCATATAAAATGATTTTTGGTTTCTGTCCAAAGAAGCATTGCTGGGAAGTCTGACATCACAGCACAAATTGGCATGGTGGTGGGGAAATGCCTCCTTAATTTTCCAGTGTGGCACTTAGCCAGAAAACTTTCTTGTTGTTCCTTTCATAGTTATCTTAAAGACTTTTTTTTTTTCCTCTTGCAGAATTTCCTACAATGAAGCAGTGGAAATTTTGAAGCAAGCTTCTCAAACTTTCTCTTTCAAGCCAGAGGTAGGTAGTTGCCTGGTGGCTTGTCCCTGTGCCTGTTCGTGCACATAGCCAGCATGAACTTTGTAGATCTCATTTCTCTCTTTCTGATACCACAAGAGTTGTTACTTCGCATAGAGGTTATCTGCCTCCTGGGGTGTTTGCCCAGTTGTAACCCAGGTATAACTTTGCCCTTTGGGGTGAAATGGGAGCAATATAAGGAGCAAGTTCTGTAGCAGAAGAACATAGAACATTTGCAGGGAAGGAAGTGATGAGTTTGCTGTTGAAGGACCAAGGTTTTGGCAAAAGCAATTCTCTTTCCTGTGTGGGAGTAGTGCTGAGTGTGTTGTGGATTCAGTAGCAGTCATCTAAGGAGGGTTGCTGTAATAGTCCTCAAATAAAGGAATGGTATTAGGACAGCACCAAAAGTTTGACAAGGACTAATAAGCCAAAACCATGTCAAAATACCATGTAATCTCGATGTAGGTAAAGGGAATCCCTTGTCTTTCCAAAGTATAGATGTTGACTGGGAAAAAAACATATGCTAGTCTTTCTAACACTGTCAGATTATGGTTTTCTGAAAATCATATCTTGACCAATTTCAACCACACACACCAGTAGGGAGAGCGTTTGTGGTAGTGCTCATCTCATATGTATACTGATTAATCTCTATCTCATTCTGATGCTTTGAGGAAAATAAGTCTCTGGCTGAAGCCACCTTCATAGCCAGTTGGGTAGCTGTCTCATCTCTGTGTACAAGTGGGTGTAGAACCTCAAATCCTGTATCTGCACTACCTTGATCTGAGATAGCAAACTCAGGTTATTTTCGGATGAGGGCAGTCTGCAGAATACCTGTTCCCCTTCTGCTCCCCCGATTCTTTGCACATCCTATAAGGTCTGCTGGTCTCTGGTCAAAAGCCACAGAATTTATAACATTGCTGAAAGAAAGGAGAAATGAAGGACATTGCAGATGTCCAAGGTTTCTGGTAACAAAGAATTGATTGATAGGATACTGGGTTTTCTTAAATGAGAATTAATGTAGCATGTAACAGGACACAGCAGGGAAGAGAGCAGTCAACCTAGTAAAGCTGCTTTCTATATACCAAAGGTAGTACTCAAATAAGGATGGTTTGCTGGGTTGAGTAAGCTGATTTTGGATAGGTGCCTATTTCCCTTAAGCAATGCAGAGTGTGGTTTGGGTGTTTTTGTTTGTTTATTTCAGATTTTTTTTCTGATTTGATACCAGATGCTTGGGCTTGATGCAGGGGTGATCTGGCCCTGTTCTATGGAAGTTACACCATTTTATTTTCATTGTTTTGCTCTGCCTTAAAACTCGTGAAACTCTTGTCTGCTTAGCAAATTTTCCCAGTGGCCTGTGTGAGAAGTTGCTGTGCTTGGTTTCATGTTATTCAAAGCTGCACATCTCTTATATGCAGGGATTTTGCTGTGTCTCTTGCCACAGGCGAGATACACCAAAGCAGGATCCCAGGTCCCTTTTGCTGTCTTTACAGTGGGGCTGTGACCTCCAAACAGAACATGAAAAGTACCTGGTGAAGCACTGTGGTGAGGTTCCCGTGTTTGTGATTAACTACCCATACAACCTCAAACCTTTCTACATGCGGGACAATGAAGATGGACCTCAACACACAGTGAGTCCATTGGTCATACTTCCACCTTTGTTTTGGCTAGGTATGTGTCTTAGCCTACTGATAGACAGACAGACGAGGATAGTCTTCTGCTGGGCCTCCAGTCATAAGTCCAAGGTAAGACATGACCATCAGGTGATCTTGTTCAATCATTTTCCTGTTGTAGAAGAAATCCCCAAAGCAGGAATAACAGGAGGAGGATTCAGGAGTTGGGTAGCGTTAAGTTTTTGCTTGAGTCCTTTAAGACTGATTTGCCCTAGTTTATTTCGTTTCCTGATAGACTTCTGTACTCCTAGGTGAAATGCCTAAAATTGCATGGCTCCAAGCAGCCCATGATTCTCCTGTCATCCAAATCTACCATCTGTGTAATCCTCAAATAGCAGATGGACACAAGACGTAAACTCTTCCTCCACAAGTCTTATGCTTTGAAGGTGTGATTTCCCAATTGAACTGAGACAACCCGAAACATTGCTTCTGCTAAAAAGAGTGACTACCCGACTATGTGTCACTGTCGCTTCACTGGCATTAAATCTAGCAACAGTTCAGCTGTGAGATAAGAGAAGTAGCTCTACAAAATAAAACAGAGAAGAAAACCAGCCCAAACCTAACAGCATAGGTGATAACACTGGGATCCTAATACTTGGATCAGCACGTCAATGCCATTGATCCATTGGTATCATTACCACTAGAGCTGGCTTAAGGAATCGGCGCAGACAGGGTAAAGACAAGTTACAAGCATCAAAGCAGCTTAAACTGTAAGGGAATCAGGACTTTGGGAAACTTGCCCATGTGTCTTTGCCTCCTTGCAAGCTGCTGTTGGGTTCTTTATACTCTGCACAGGCTTGCCTACATGCACAGGTTGTCACCAGAGTAACCTGGTGGGATTCAGTTCACACCACCTGCTGTAGATGTCCTCAGTCTGGAACATCACTGCACTTGTTTAGGTTTTCTGTAGGCTTGCTGATTTTTATCACTATAAAGTTCCCTCCCAGCCTTCTGCTGACAGGGCACTTTTCAAGCATTTGCAAATGCTTACCTAAGTGTCCTGGACTCAATAAAAGAATTACAGTAGCTTTTCACAAACAGCCATCCAGTGTCAACTGCACTTCTGCTGTAGACTGTATGGCTACATGGCACGACTTATGTCACGTTTCTTTCTTTTAAGGTTGCAGCTGTTGATCTCCTTGTATCGGGAATAGGGGAGTTGTGTGGAGGCAGCTTGAGAGAGGAGCGACTACCCTTCCTTGAATCACGCTTGCAGAGGTATGGAAAACTCACAATTGCCAGCAGACTAGCCTGACCAAGAGAGTGTGTCCTGGTTTTGGCTGGGATAGAGTTAGTTTTCTTCCTAGTAGCTGACATAGTGCTGTGTTTTGGATTTAGTTTGAGAATAACGTTGATAACACGCTGACGTTTTAGTTGTTGCGAAGTAGTGCTTACACTAGTTAAGGACTTTTTCATCTTCCCATGCTCTGCTAGCAAGGAGGTGCACAAGAAGCTGGGAAGAATCATAGCCAGGACAGCTGACCCAAACTGACCAAAGGGATATTCCACACCATGTGACACCATGCTCAGTACATAAACTGGGGGGAGTTGGCCAGGGGGGCAGCGATCACTGCTCGGGGACTAGCTGAGCATTGGTCGGTGGGTGGTGAGCAGTTGCATCACTTGTTTTTTTTTCCCCTGGGTTTTGTTTCTCTCTTTCTCATTGTTCTCCTTTTCATTACAATTTTTATTACTACTATTATTTTTATTTCAACTATTAAACTGTTCTTATCTAAACCCACTAGTTTTCTTATTTTTGCCCTTCCGATTGTCTCCCCCATCCCACCGGGGGAGGGAGGGTAAGTGAACAGCTGTGTGGTGCTTGGTTGCCGACAGGGGCTAAACCACGACAGTGTTTCATTTCAGCAGCTCTCAGTGGTTGGCAAGACAGAGGAGAGGATGGGCAACTAACGCTATTTAAAAAAAGCCTATTTTTGTCTTTGAGATACCTGTTTATCTGAGTATGTGATTGCAAACTGATGAAGAAGTTCTTGTGCTTCTGTTGTAGGTATGGAAACTGCCTCTCTGTTTTAGCTCATCAGAGAAGAGTTTATTTTATGCTTGAAGGCCAGGGCAGCAGAACGCCTCAGCTCTGCTGGGACTGTCTGGAAGAGGGTCTTGTATGAGGCACTTGATCTTTGAGCCTTTTCTTTGCAGCTTTTGTGGCTGAGAGTGGATTGTGAAGGTGGAAGTTGTCACGTAGACAGAGCTTATATGTATTTGTCATCACATTGTGTAACTGAGGAACGGCAGTTTTGGTCAGAAGCTTCGCTAGCTGTGATGCAGCTGGCCTTAGTGGCGTCATTTAAGAGGATACAGTTCTTTGCTAACAGTTTGGTGGAAACCTTCACTGGAAGTGCCTGGGACCTGTGCTGAGTCATATGGCTCTTTCCCTGCTGCTTTGTTCTGGATCGTGTGACTTCGAGTAATTTTAGGCTAAATTCAGTGTCAGAATATCAGAGCTGCTGTTTAGTTAACAATAATTGACATTATGGATGGGGTAATTCTCCATAGACAATTACTCCCTGGATCCTGTCTGATTGTTCAAAAGAACCTTTCATAACTCAAGACAAGTCCATTTGGGCCAGTCGTACACTCATGCGAAGCAATTTTGGAGGAGGATTAATCCCAGAGTAACATCATTTGCACATTGGGAATGAATTTGTGGCTTAAATCAGCCACATGCTCACAGAGACATATCTAGTCAGTGGAGAAGCGCAAAATCCATTTCCATAATGAATCCAAAAGGCACAGGGCAATTAAAATCACCAGAACATTGGTTCTCAATTTGTGGCATAGGATGGTGTTATTCCCTGTGCTTCCTGTTATTCTCTGAATAGAGCTCTTCCAAAGCAGGCGTGCTTCAGCTGAAGCAAAGTACAGTGTTGCCTGCTGCACTTTTTCATTTGAAATTTTTGCTAGTGAGATCTAGAGTCCACAGCCCCTCAAGGTGTGAGGCTGCAGGAGTGGTCCTTGTGAAGGTTGAAGCCAGACTTTCTTGTTTGTCAGGAAAGTCATGGAAAGCATTTCAAGGTACAAATGGGGTGTATCTTCAGTGACCTTAAAGTACAGCTCTGCATTGAAGATGACGCCTCTTTTCACATGTTTTTCTTAATTTTGAGTACGCAGGATCTGATCTGCTGAGCCCAAATACTTTGTTAAGGCTTTTAAATTATACTTCCTGCAGACCCAGCATAACTAAGAGATAAAGAATGGGATTCTTGTCTCCGTATACACACTGCACACAGTAGTTCTCCAAGCCCTAGTCAGGGACAGCTGCAATGCACTGAAGATGAGAGAAGTGGTCTTTATTTGCCTACAGCTTTCTGTTTCTGTTCAGAGAAATGGGGAAAAAAATGCAACAATTTCACTCTGACTCTGCCAGGGCAGGAAAAGGGGAGAGGGCGCACTGGTGGCAATTAGAAAAGATGTATTTTATTTAGTAGTTTTACAGAATTTGGCACATGTTAATAAAGCTATGGGAGTTTGGTAGTTTTATGCACTACGGAAGGGGAGCTGCATGGCCACACGTGAAGAGATTTTGACTCACTCATAAATGAGGTTGGCTGCATGTCATTGTAAATTTAATATTTGGGCTTGTACTCTCCAAACATTCACAAGTAGTTTACTGATATGCTTAAAGTTAAGAATATGCACAAGTCTTTGCATGAAGCTGGGATCAACCCTGTATGTTGACAAAACAAACTTTACATTTTAAGAAGCATGTTAGGAATCTGCTCAAGATTGTCTGCCTATTACCAGAACTGACAGCCGCTCGTTGTGTATTCCCTTAATTTCCTGCCTTTCCTTGTTGGACTGAGTTTAGTCGTCAGACCCTCCCTTTTCTTGTAGCATTCTCTTCCAGGCAAGTGCTGCTTGTGTGGATCTCCTCTGTTCCTTTACTTACAAGGGGTTTTCTTTTTGTTCCACAGATTAGGACTCACAGATGCCTACCAATGGTAAGACACTATCTTGGTCTGCAGCTTACATTTCTTTTTTTGAGACTCTTTAAACAACTGTTTCATTTTTTTGATCCTGTTGTTGAGGGGATGTTTCTTGGCCCAGTTGCTCTGCCATCACTGCCAGTCTAAATGGAACAGCTAGTTCATTTAAACAAAGTTTAATCTAATGCTACTTAGTTTATCTTCCCAATTTGTCCACTCACAGCACAGGTCATTCCTTTCAGGATTGCATGAAGTGGATTAATTTACAACCCATCAATGATTTTTGATATTAAATCATTAAGCTGTTTTCCATGTTGTATAGATTCTGACCGCCATTGCATGAGATAAACAGGTTACAGAACCACAAACAATTTGTGACCTTTAACAGCTCTATGAATAACTCCCTTTGCAATCGACAGGGCAATTGGGTCGAAAAATCTTCCCTAACAAAGTGGTTGAAGCAATTAAAACTGTCCTGCTAAGGAGACAGAACAACCTTTGAATTAATGGTTTAGCCTATTAAAATGACAGAAGGATCTTAGTGTTCCTCTTGACAAGTGTTTCTTGGTATGTACTTTGTCACAGCTACTGAGAGGTGATAGTGTGAAGAATTTTAAATTTAGAAGAGTATATTCAAATACTCCGCAGTATTTGGAATGATCATTAGGGAGGCTGCCTTGAAAAAAAGCAGAGTAAGCGCAGGATTCTTCACTCTCCTCTTCCCACAACATGAAATCACTTGGGAACAGCCCAGTGCATGGCAGACCTTTACATCATCCATCTGCAAACAGGGTGAATGAACTGTCTTCCTTTATTGTTTGCATTTATGGGCTAGAATACACCATGTCACTGCATCTGAGGGAAGGATTATCCTGACCAAGGATGATCAGTTGTGTGGTTAGATGCTGAGATATAGCCTGAGGGAGTCTGGTGTTCAGTGGCAGAGCCTTCCAGCACTACTAAGATAGCTCAGCCCTGTCTTGTGCTTCCCTCAAGAGAGGAGATTAAGACATTGCCCATCAGCCATTTGCATTTTCATGTGATATGTAGCAATCACATTCTGGAAATTCTTTCTTCCTGTGATCTTGTTTTGGAGACTCTTTCCTCCTCTATTCCCTCTACTCCATCACAGACAATCTAACTTCCCAGCGAAGATTAAAACTGTTGTTACCCCCTGCCATAGCAGGCTCTGCTGTCCTAGGAAGGTGCAGGATAGGAGTAATCCTGGAAGCTTCTGGACTACAGTCCAGAATCTGCCAGAAAACAGGTAGGTGGTTTGCCAGCATCCATCTTTCAGTGGAGGTGGCAGGAGAGACTGAAATTAATCTCCTCCAATTTAGTGATTGAATTTAGTCTCCATAGCTGGCTCACAAACTCCTTGAAGAACAGTTGAGTCATTCCTTTTTAAATATAATATTTGCTGATTTTAGAACAGGCAGCTGTATGAGATATGGTCCCTTTTGAAATCCCTTATATTGGCGTATCTGTTTCTACCTGTTTTCTTCTCCCACCAAGCATGAGGATATTGTGCTTCAGGAGGGTCTTGTTTGTGGGAGAATCATGGGGCAAAGAGGTAACTGATGATCTGAAATACTGTTGTGCTTCTGCCCATTCCTACCTTTTAGAAAGTTTTTGGAAAAAAGTAGATAAAGGGACATGGTCAAAGTCCTCTGAATCTTCTTCAGTTCGCTACATCTTTCTGTTGTGCAGGTTTCTTTCCATAAAGAATATGAGTTGCAAAAGTATTTGGCTTGATTTTGCAGAGTTATTTTATCTTATTTTCACACTCCTTCCTTTGAACTGGAGATAGAAAAGAGTTCAGTGCTGTAGATGCTGATCTTGGCTAGACTTGGAGAGGTCTGTGGAAGTGAGGTGGGAAAGTCGGGCGATCAGAGTTTACTCTGGGAAGTCACTTGCTTTCTCTGTGACTGTGACCAGGGATTATCGAGTATATTGCCTTGTAAACAGGGGTCCTGATCCTGTTTGCAGCCTCCAGGTGCCAGCTTAGCATGAGCAGTAACAACGACGGTACTTTGTAATGAACAATGTGTCCCCACTACCATCAGCTTGAGCTGCATTTTGGACAGTCTTTCTACATGTAAGGCACCCATTTCCTCACTCTGATTGTCATCATGTGCATCAGTGGAGAAGATGGCCTCATACTGAACCCTTTACAGTCCAGGTACCTTTCTGATCTTCTGGGGTAACGCTGGTGAAAGTACCCAGTGGCAGGAGCAGGTGTTATCTGCTGTCTTAGAAAGGATACTACTATGTTGTCTTGGCCTTGTTCCTGCTCTAGATGGAGAAGATTGAGCTATGTTGGGCTCTGTAATTTCTAAATTTCTTTGAAGCTTGAATGCCAGAGTGTTCTGTTGGGTCCTTGTGTAGCAAGGTAGAAAGGAGGAGTTGGACTTAAGGAACAGCAGCACCAGTGAGCCACTTGCAATCCACAGCCACTGACAGCATTCATATCATCCTTTAACCTCCTTCAGAGCCCAGTGAACACAGGTAGCCCATCGGTCTCCTTGGCAGGCACCTGGTCCTATTGCTCCTGCTTTGGGGAGAAACCAGAGCGCTGTGCTGGGCTATACGGAGGCAGGGAGAAAGTCAGTGCTAAAGCCAGCCAAAATGTGCCCAAACCCCACTCGTATCAGTGGGAGTGTTTTAGATTCACCTCCCTGAATGCTGATTTTGTAGATTCCCAAAAAGTTGTAGCAGAGCAGAAACTGTCTGAAACGAAAAGACAATGTTTTAGCCGGTAACAGAACCTGGCAATGCTTTGCATGCTTATTTCCTGAAACATTCAAAAAAATGGTCTTTCAAATGTCATTTCACTAGCAGCTTTTCGTTACCCTCACTTTTTTCCCTTTTTTTTTTTTAGTAGAATATTTAACTTCATGGACTGCAATATCTTTGTTCTTTCAGCCTTACTTTTTTCAAACTGGCTGCGGAGGCTTCAGTATAACAAGAGGGTTATACAAAAGATCGAGATTATATTTGTTTTGAAAGGAGACCGAAAAGAATACATTCTGCTTATGAATGGTCACTAAAAGAGCACTGATCTTCATAGTGCCTTGCTGTGCAACACAGGAGCTCATGATGATGATAAAAGGGTATAGATTTTTAAAAGGATGAAAGGAAATGCTCTTCTAACTTGGCACATAACAAGCTCCTGGAATTCATTGCCGGGGGATGTTGTTGCAGCACATACTTCAGTAAGATTCAAATCTCTGAAGAACCACCAGTCCTCCAGGTCCAGAACATGAGCTCCAGAGCTAGCTGGGGTCGCAGAAATTTATTTTCCCCATGGAATAATCATAGAATCATAGAATCATAGAATCATCTAGGTTGGAAAAGACCTTTAAGATCATCCAGTCCAACCATTAACCTACACTACCAAGCCCACTCTAGACTAATCAAGGGTAGACCAGACTAAACCATATCCCGAAGTGCCACATCTACCCGTTTTTTAAACGCCTCCAGGGATGGTGACTCCACCACCTCTCTGGGCAGCCTGTTCCAATGCCTGACCACCCTTTCCGTAAAGAAATTTTTCCTAATTTCCAGTCTAAACCTCCCCTGGCGCAGCTTAAGCCCATTTCCTCTTGTCCTATCGCTAGCTACTTGGGAGAAGAGACCAACACCCACCTCACTACAACCTCCTTTCAGGTAGTTGTAGAGAGCGATAAGGTCTCCCCTCAGCCTCCTCTTTTCCAGGCTAAACAACCCCAGTTCCCTCAGCCGCTCCTCATAAGACTTGTTCTCCAGACCCTTCACCAGCTTCGTTGCCCTTCTCTGGACACGCTCCAGCACCTCAATGTCTTTCTTGTAGTGAGGGGCCCAAAACTGGACACAGTATTCCAGGTGCGGCCTCACCAGCGCCGAGTACAGGGGGCACATAATGTTGCGCAGTCCTCCAGTTGCCAATGGAGGGCTCAGCTCTCCTCTTAAGTGTGAGCTACTAGGAGAAATTGCTAGACTAGTTCATGACTGGTTTTGAGGTGAGAAGCATCCGATGTCTGGAGACCACTGAATGAAGGAAAACCTCAGGGAGCATTTTCCAGCCTAAAGGGAATTTTCTCTTCATCTGCAGGCAGTTACTTTTTCTTTCATCTGGGAAGAATGGAAAATTTCTCAATTTCTTTGCTGCTTCTAAGCACAGTCATCAGAAAGGATTCACAGGCTTGATCCTCAGCACGTTTAATTCAATTGACTTTTTCCATTAACTTTAATGGGTTTTGTTTCGCTCCTTTTGCCAAAATGGCTTCTTAGAGTGCTTTGAGATCTACAGATGAAAGCCCTGGATAAGCAAGAGTAGAATTTATTATTATTGTTCATCTGGAAGAAGCCGAGTTATTTCATCTCCTTTCAATGACTTTATAAACTCTGTTGCCAGCAAAAGGGGAGAAAAGATGCTAGGCTTCGTCTCAACTGTCTTTGCACAGGCTGAGATATGCTTACAGACGTCATCAGAAATGTTTGTGCTCTTATTTATATTACTAGTTGCAGCTAGAGTTGTCACCAGCTGGCTTGCCAGTTCTGCTCAGAACTACTGAGCTGGTACAGATTGATCTGCCAGGGCCAGCACCCATATCCCTCACATTTACGAGGTCTTTCCTATTTCACAAGTCACCACCCTCAGCACCAGATCTGCCCATCATCTTCCTTGCAAACCCTTGAAGAGCTGCTAAGTGAAGCTCCCCAGGGGCAGTTCCCAGCGTATTAGTGGAAACTCAAGTTCTTCTTAAGGCAGTCTGTATGAAGTGGATAGAGATGAAGACCACCATGCTGTTTGCACAGTCTTTCATATTCTGAGCATAATCTTCATCACAAGGTGTGGGGTGGATACAACTAAGCCTTAGCAAGCCAAGCTAACACCCAGCAGCACAGATAGAAAGCACGTGGGTCCCAGGGATCAGAAAACATACGTCCTGCTCTTGAGCCTGCTGTTCAACTTGCAGTATAGGCATAACTGCACTTTGTGTGTCAGTGCTAATAGGAAGAGGTAAGAAGTTCTAT